TTTTGAGACAGGGTCTCAGTGGCCTGGAAATCTTCAGTTAGGCTAGGCTGACCAGCCAGCAAGCCCCAGCCAGGGATCCTCCTGTCTCCGTTTTCCCCAGCACTGAGATTACAAGTGGGCACCACCATGCCCAGCTCTTATATGACAAGCACTCTACTGACTGAGCCATCTCCCCACCCTGAGCTTTCTTTCTCAAGCCTGTCTCCCCCATTCACACAGGAAAAGAGAAGAAAGCACCTCCTTTGCTGGAGGGAGCCCCTTTCCGCCTGAAGCCCCGCAGCATCCATGAACTGTCTGTGGAGCAGCAGCTGTATTACAAAGAGATCACAGAGGCCTGTGTAGGATCCTGTGAGGCCAAGAGAGCGGTAAGCCTGCCCTCTGGCCTGCCTTCGCACCGGGGCAGAATCCTGGAACAGCGGTAGTTTTCCTACGGTAAATGGTCTGCCTGACTCATTGCCCCCTCCAACAGGAAGCTCTGCAGAGCATTGCCACCGACCCAGGGCTCTATCAGATGCTACCACGATTCAGTACCTTCATCTCTGAGGGGGTGAGAGAACTGGGAAAGGCCAGACCCAGGATGAGGCTCCAAGGAAGGGGGTTGGCAAGGGGAGTCCATCTGAGGGGTCTCTGCCCCTCCCCCAATTTTCCCTTTCCTAGGTCCGTGTAAATGTAGTCCAGAATAACCTGGCCTTGCTCATCTACCTGATGCGCATGGTGAAGGCCCTGATGGACAACCCCACGCTGTATCTAGAGAAATATGTGAGTGGTCTCGCCTACCTCCTGTCTTTTCCAAGGTCAGGTCCCCTTCTGCTGACTGCACCACAGATCAGGTATCAGAACTGGCTTATGGTGCCTGGTCTCCCTCAGGTGCACGAGCTGATTCCAGCAGTCATGACCTGCATTGTGAGCAGACAGCTGTGCCTGCGGCCAGATGTGGACAATCACTGGGCACTCCGGGATTTTGCTGCTCGTCTAGTGGCCCAGATCTGTAAGCATTTCAGCACAACCACCAACAACATCCAGTCCCGGATCACCAAGACCTTTACCAAGGTGAGTGCCAAAAATGTATCAGATGATGCAAATCACCTCTCCAGGGTTATCCCCAAGAAAGAAAGAACTTCACCCACCTGGCAGTAGAAAGATACCCAGAACATGGGGCAAAGACTGGAGCCAGGGAGACTGGGTCCTAGGGTCTTGATTGAACCTGTGTCTTAATGCTTTATAAGTGTTTATAGGTGATGTCAGTCTTTAGCAATTAGTCTTTCCTTTTTTGAAACAGGGTGTCATGTATCCCAGGCAAGCCCTAACCCTGACCCTCTAACTCTATCCTAAATTAAACTCTGTGTAACTGAGGATGGCTTTGAACCTTTTTTGCAGGGGAGGGGAGTTTAAGACAGGGTTTCTCTGTTGTAGCCCTGGCTGTCCTGGAACTAGCTCTGTAGACCAGGCTGGCCTCGAACTCATAGAAATCCACCTGCCTTCCAAGTGCTAGGATTAATGGCGTGTGCCACCACTGCCTGGCAGCTTTGAACTTGTAATCTTCCTGTCTCTACCTCCTGTGTACCAGGATTACAGGCATGTACCACCAGGCCTAGTTTAGCAGTTAGCCTTTCCAAACCTTTTCATCTGGGTTTTTCTTCTTTCTTTCTCTGCAGAGCTGGGTAGATGAGAAGACTCCATGGACAACTCGATATGGCTCCATTGCAGGCCTGGCAGAGCTGGGACATGATGTCAGTGTCCAGAGGGAAGAGCTGGGAGAGGGGCATTCACATGTGGGGTGGGAGAGACCTCTGGTGACCTCGTCTGGCTTCTTCCCTTCCTTCCCACTAGGTGATTAAGACGCTGATTCTGCCAAGGCTGCAGCAGGAAGGGGAACGGATCCGCAGTGTCCTGGATGGGCCTGTGCTGAGCAACATTGACCGTATCGGAGCAGACCATGTGCAGAGCCTTCTCCTGGTGATGAACCCCCACCATACCCCCGCTTCTTCCCAGGAGCTCCACTCCTAGCTCCCACAAACACAGCTACAGTGTTTAGCAAGCACGAGGCACATCTTAACCCTTACTCTTCAGAGGCCGGCACTGTGGTGTACATGGAAATCTTGGCACAAACAGGAACAGAGGCCTTAACAGTCACTAACTTCTGGACTACACTGCTCTCACCCTACACAAGGCACATGAACACCCCGTCTGTGTCATCACTAGATACAGCAAATCCTGTTCATACCAGCCGATCCGTAGGGAAGGAAACTTTATTTGTTGACTCTTACAGATGGGGTCTTGCCCTGGCTAGTCTGGAACTTGTGAGGTAGACCATGCTGGCCCTGTGGCAACCCTGCTGCCTCTGCTTTCCTGAGTGCTAAGATTACAGCAATGCACCACCACACCCACTGAGATCATCCTTTTTATTTTTACAAGTTTTTTTGTATGTTTGCATGAATGGACACTGTGTGTACAGATGCCCACAAAAGCCAGAGGAAGGCAGCAAATCTAGAACTGGAGTTCCAGGTAGTTGTGAGCAAGCAACCTCTGGAAGAGCAAGTGCTCTAAACCTCTGAGCCACCTCTCCAGTCCCCATTTCCCTTTTTGCCTGTGTGCCGCTGGGAATTGAACCTAGGGCCACGTGCATGTTTTCAAAGCACTACCACTGAGCTATGGTCTCCTTGGCCCTCTTTTTTTTTTCATTTTGAGACAGTCCATCTGTCCAGGCTAGCCTTGAAGTTCTCTTTGTAGCTCTGGCTAGCCTGGAACTCTGGTCCTCCAGCATGAGTGCTGGGACTACCAGGGTGAACACCACCCCCAGCTCAGACGCCTTCCCACTGGAAGAACAGCAGCTTTTCATCACGGCCTCCAACGACAGCAATGGGGGGCTCCTCTCACATTTGCTGCGGGGTACCAGCCCTCACTTTGCCTTCTCTGCAGAAACACTGTGCCCCGGTCCTGGCGAAGCTGCGCCCTCCACCTGACAATCAGGATGCCTACCGGGGAGAATTTGGGTCCCTTGGGCCCCTTCTCTGCTCCCATGTGGTGAAGGCCAGGGCCCAGGCTGCTCTACAAGCTCAGCAGGTCAACAGGACCACACTCACCATCACACAGGTCAGCCGCTGCGGGAGGAGGCCGACAGGAAATGGGCAGGTTTGGGACAGGACTGGCCACCGCCAGCAGTCTCGGGGAGCCTCACCCTACTGCCACCCCCAATGAAGAGCTAAGAGCAAGTGCAACCGAGGTCTGCCTTCAATGTTGACACTTTCTCCCTGTCTCTCCTCACAGCCTCGGCCCACACTGACCCTCTCGCAGGCCCCTCAGCCAGGCCCTCGGACCCCCGGCTTATTGAAGGTTCCTGGTTCCATTGCCTTGCCTGTCCAGACCCTGGTGTCTGCTAGAGCTGCTGCCCCTCCTCAGCCTTCTCCTCCCCCAACCAAGTTTATTGTAATGTCCTCATCTTCCAGTGCCTCATCGACCCAGCAGGTATGTGGGGCCAGGGTGAGGGGTGTGAGGGGTGCCTGGGGAAAGTCTCCAGTGGAGGCCTAACCCCTCCAGCCTCAAACTCAGAAGGTAGGAGGGCCCCTTGTCAGGATCTTGGAGGCCTCAAGCTAGCAGCAGCCTCCTGGATCTTGACCCCTCATTGGGGACTGCAAGGGAGCACAGGAGCAGAGGGAAGCAAGGACAATGGCGCAGGCCCTCCAGGTGTGAGGCAGGCAGCACGGAGTCCCCACACTCACGCTGCCCTCCTTCCTCCCCCAGGTCCTGTCCCTCAGCACCTCAGCTCCTGGCTCAGGCTCTACCACTACCTCTCCCGTCACCACCACGGTTCCCAGCGTGCAGCCCATCGTCAAGCTGGTCTCCACGGCCACCACCGCACCCCCAAGCACAGCCCCTGCTGGCCCTGGCAGTGTTCAGAAATACATCGTGGTTTCCCTTCCCCCGACAGGGGAAGGCAAAGGAGGCCCTCCTTCTCATCCTTCTCCAGTCCCTCCTCCATCGTCTTCACCATCCCCACTGGGGGGCAGTGCCCTCTGTGGGGGGAAGCAGGAAGCTGGGGAAAGCCCCCCTCCAGCTCCAGGGACTCCAAAGGCTAATGGCTCCCAGCCGACTGGACCTGGCTCCCCTCAGCCTGCTCTGTGACAGCATCACATCTGCTGACCTCCTCTTGTGCAGATTCCTCCACGCACCAAGAACGCGGGAGGGAGGAGGTTGTTTCCCCCAGTGACTTTCTTTTTAGATACTGTACAGTAAGTTCCTCAGAATAAAAGTTGGATTTGTAAGTTTGTGAGCTTCCCTGCGTCACATACAGCAGAAAGGATGAGTCCGTGGAACCTTCCTGGTCTTGGGACTCTTCCTGTCCAGATCCAAAGACACAAGAAAGAAAATGTCCTCTTCCCGTTCAACTGCCTGCTGACTTTGCTGTCTATATCCTTGTTTGGGAAGTTTCAAATCCGAATTACGTAGGCGTTGCTGTGGCTCAGATGTCGCACCCACTTGTGAGGGTTGGCACTACCACAGGCGCTAAAGGACAGCCTAAGGAAGCGAACCTGGAGGCCAGAGCATGTATGCCGAGGGAGTTCAAAGGAGAGGCTGGCAGGTCCCAGCCCCAAGGGAGGCGCTGATGGGGAGGGCCCATGGCTGGGAGGCCCCTGTGAGCCAGGGACATCCATCTGTAAGTAAAACAGAAGATGTGAGGCTAGACAGCTACCTGGCACCAGGACTGGGCTGGTGCCAAAGGTGCGTGAGGATGGAAAATGCATACCTGGAAAAGGCCTGAGAGTTGAGAGCCTCCTTGTACTCGGGGCAGGTCCCAGTGGAGGGCTCCTTCTACCAGCTCTGCCTTCTGATCAGGGCTGCTCAATTCCTGAGACAGGCTGGAAGGTGGACAGGGAAGATGTTGAGTTAAGTGGCTACTTCCTTGGTAGAATGGAGGCTCTCCCCAGGGAGTCTTCCCAGCAAGAATGCTGACCTGACTACCCCTCGAGGCAGGGGAAGGTGCAGATGAATGTTGAGAGCTTGGCTGCAAAGAGAAGAGAGTCAGCTCCAGGATGGCAGTGTCTTACCTGTTTGCATTGTTCTTGAGACAGTCTTACGCAGTTTAGGATGACTTTGAACTTCTGATTCTCTTTCCTCCAGTGCTAGGATTACAGGACTGCACCACTACACTTGATGTGGTGCTGAGGATCAAACCCAGGGCTTTGTGCATGCTAAGCAAGCATTCTACATGCATCCCCAGCCCCTGCTCTGTTCCTCCTTCATGTCCCAACAGGAGTTCAGCACAAACACATTCCCTCCTCTAACTCTTTCCCAAAAGCCATAACCTCTGACCCAAGTGGAATTTAAAGGTGGTGGATGCAAATACCAGTTTGTTTTGAGACAGGGTCTCACTCTGAAGCCCAGACTGGCTTCAAACTGGTGATTCTCCTGCCTCAGCCTCCCAACTGCTGGGATTACAGGCACACACACACACTACAGGGCTTTATACATTTACAGGAAGAATTAGCAGGCCCTTGGCCCTGTTTCCTGTCCTAGACAGTCGAAGTGGGCTTGAGCAGCCCACCCCCACTCTTTTTTGTGTTTTGTTTTTTGAGACAGAGCTTTATGGGACCCAACTTGGCTTCAAACTCCCTATGTAGTTGAGATTGGCCTTAAACTCCTGATCTTTCTGTCTCTGTCTCCCAAGGGCTGGGATTGTAAGTGTGTACCACCAAGCCCAATTTAGTTAGCCCCAACTCGTACCTCTTTGGTGGCAGGTCACACCGTAACTTCAGGTAAATCTGGAGCCTGGAAAAGGTGGCATACAATTATTTACAACGTATCCTGTTGACACTCCATGGCTGTTTATCCGAGGCCTCCATGGGAGGCTGTATAAGTTGTACCCTAAGAAGGAAAAGGGCTGAGAGCCATCCCAACAACACTAGCCAGTACTTTTTCCAACCTGCCTGCTATCATCTCTGCCTCCCTTCCATATTAACCCTAACCCTTCCATGTTAAGCTGTGGCTCAGAGGAGTTGTTAAACACAGAACTAGTCTCACCGGCCTGAACCTCGGTCCCACTGTACAGAGGGGAAGAGCCGGAAGGGGAGCGGTGAGGGGAGGTCATCCGACAGTTGGTATCGCATCACGGTCAGCTGAGGCCAGAGAGGAACAGGTCAGCGTGGTCTTGCTCTGGTTACTGCCTCCCTCCCCTCTGGTGGATGGAATATACCAGGCCACCCTGAACCTGACCTCGCCCTGAGGTGGCTGCAGGCGGAGGATCCGATGAGACTCAAACTCATCCAGATTGACAGAGCTATGGAACGACACCTCATCAACTCGGATGCCTGGCCCATATCCTGCAAAGAGAAGAAGATGGCTCTCCCGACCTGTGATTGGAAGGGAAGAGACATTTCCAACGTCTCTCCATGATATTTTGGAGAGGAAAAAAACTCATGCTCCCCTTACCTCTCAGTTCTGACTTTCCCACACAAAATTCTTCTGTCAAGCCTATGTACATCTCTGTGGGAGGAAAGGACATGAGAAAGGGGCATCAAATACCACCGCACACATCACCAGGAAGCCGTACCACACTTTACCATGGGTCCTCACCAGAACCGCTAGGAAGGAAGCTCTTGAGCCGTATCTCTCCCTGGACATCCACCTTCAACAGTGAACCCTGGGGACAGGAAGGAAGTTAAGACTCCGCTGTCCCCAAGTACCATTTCCCTTCAACTCCAGGGGGTGGGGGACACGAACCCAGACTTACATTAGATGCAATCAGTACAGACAGCCTCTCGACCACATCTAAAAACACTTCATTCTTTTGGCTCTAAGAAAGAGAGGATGTGAGTTGTGGAGGCTGACAAGCAATGCCAGGCATGATGACACATGGAAGCTGAGGTAGAAGGACCGACATGAGTTCAAAGCCAGCCTGGGTTACAGTGTGAGAGCCTGGGAACTACAGGGATGGCTTAGTCAGTAATGTGCTTGCCTCGTGAATGTGACGATCTGAGTCTGATCCCCCAAATCCATGTGAAAGTCAAGTGTGGGGATGCGAGCATGTAATACCTACACTAGGGAGGTGAAGATACACACATCGCCGAGGCTCACTGGTAGGCCAGCCAGCCCAGCCTAGTCAGTGAGTTCCAGGCTAATGAAAGGGCCTGTCTCAGAGGAAAATGGAATTCCTGAGGACGACATCCAAAGCCTAGTCCTTTGGCCTCCACACAAATGCATGCACCACACGTATACACATACAGACAAAACATAACAGAGGCAGTAGAAGGGACAGGGTAGTCGAAGTAGAGCCCTGGGATAGGAATATCATGTCAAAAGGAGTGAAGAGATAAGCCAAGTTCTTGGACTCTTGGGTGTTAGGAATAAAAAAAAAAAATCATCAAGTCTGGCCTCACTGATCTCTTACCTGGTCAGAGCGACTGGACAAGACCGGTCGACTGGCTGCACTGCTTGGGGCCACTCTGTTCTGCTGTGTCTCTGCTCCGAACTGTAAAGCACCCAAGGCAACCAATCCTCAGCTTTGATGCTCACAGCCAACCCTCCTGGCCCCTCCTCTTTCCCTGCTACTGACCAATCCAACGCTGCTGAGGTCAAAGAGGCTGAAGGGCTTGCTGACCACAGCTTCTGTCTGGATGAAGTTCCGGAGCATTTCCGTGGACGTAGTCTGCACATAGCCGTAATCCTAATGGACAGAAAGAGTGGAACGGAGTGGATTTGGCCTCCTAACCACAAAACTCTACGCTAGGAGAGAGGACACTTTCAGGGTAGCAGGGAACAAGGGAAGGAAGTCCTTGGGGCTGCGGAGATGGTGCAGTGGGTAAAGGGCATGCTCAGCAAGTGTGAGGACCTGAACTCAATCCCCAAAACTCAAGTGAAAAAAAGCTGGACATGATAATGAGCATCTGTAATTCCAGTGATCTCATTTGGAGATGGGAGATGGAGACAGGAGAATCCGGGAAGCTTGTGGGCTAGTTAGTTTAGTGTATGTGCACTGGAAAACAGAGACCTTGCCTTTTGTCTGTCTTTTCTTCCCACCCCCACTCCCATCCCCACCCCAAGTTCTTCAAGACAGGATTTTTCTGTGCGGGCCCAGATGTTCTAGAATTCACCCTGTAGAACAGACTGGCCTTGAACTCAGAGATTCACCTGCCTCTGCCTTTCCAGTGCACCACCACACCTGGCTTCTTTTTCCAGTTTTTTGGGACAAGGTCTCACTATGCAATCCTGGCTGGCCTCAAACTCATTCTGTAGACCAGGCTTGCCTCAAAATCAAAAGTGGTCCATCTGTTTCTGGGTGCTGGTATATTAAAGGCATGCACCACCATGACCAGCAAAAGACTTGTCTGGAACAAGGTAGAAGGTAAGGACCAATACCCGAGATTGTCCAACAGAAAAGAAAGAGAGATCCTGTGCGATGACTCAGCTGGTAAAGGTGCTTGCTACCAAGCCAGTCAACCTGAGTTCAATCCCAGGGACGCAGACAGTAGGAGAAAACTGTCTCCTGCAAGTTATCCTCTGAACTCTACTCATGTGCACGGGTGTAGGCAACCACATACATACACACACACAATGAATAAATCAATTTTTTAAAGAGGAAAGTCTTTGGGCTTTACCAGCACTTCATCCAGGAGTTCGTAAACAAGAGCCACATTCCGTGAGATGGTTCCCTCACTGAGTGAGCCACAGTAGTCACCCAAGAGAGTGGCTAACCTAAGGAGACATAGTTGAGTAGTGAATAAACCTCTCAGGTCCTCCTTCTTATTCTTAGGTGGCTGTCCCAGCCCTACTCACCGGGAAAGCAGCTCCAGGAGGCTGAAAGGAGAGACGTTTTCTGAGGTTGTGGCCACCAAATAGAGACCACTGTGTCTGATGTGAATGAAATGACGGTCATCATGATACTGAGGCGGAGTCGGGGAGAGAGGCATTAAAAGACCAGGATTGCAGTAACGTAGCCTGAGATGGCACCCTACAGTCGCTACTAGTGAGAGTAGAAAATGTGGCTTTGGGTGATCCCTGAGACCTTCAAAGACCTGGCCTCCTAATGTGTAACCTACCTCTGTGTGGTTGACAGTCAAGAGATGGGGGTGCAAGGCTCTGTCTCTGGCGTCTTGTTCACTCAATACACTTTTCTTACTCGGAGAAATGTACCCCCTCCCCTCCCGGGAAGCTTCCTATCAAGCAGCCCTCGAAAGGGAGATCTAGACGAGGCACCCATCAAGCTCCACAGTCCTAAGCCCCTGCTTGCCCGCCACAAGTGGTTACCATGACAACCGGAGACTCGCCTCCAGGCAGCCCCGTCAGCTTCCGGTAAAAGAGCTCGGCCACATCACGACCACCACTGTCTCCGCGAACTGGACGGATAGTTAAGGACACGGGCGACACAGAATGACTCTGGGCTCGATTTCTACCAGCGACTCCACTCCGTCTCGCCGGTCAAGGATACAGTCTTTGTAGATGAGCGGGTCCCCCTTGGAGGACAGAATGAAGAACTGGGAAATCATGGCCGTTCAGGAGGACAGACGAGAAGACGGTGAAAGTTGAACCCACCCCGCCCTGCGGTCGCGGAACAAAAGGACGCAGGGAGGCTGGCGCTTTAAGAGACACTCCTCCCACACCCACACGGGCGAGCAGTAATTTTGAACCGCGGGAAACCGGGTGCCCAACCCGCCTGGGCTTGGCAATCTCCCTCCGGCCCGCCCCCTCGCCCCCTGTCATTCAACCCAGAGTCGTCCAGTGATTGGTTAAAGTTGGTTGCCGGCAGCGGTTACTAGCCCCCTGTCTGATTGGCCCGTCCTCAGCGGCACGGGTCACGTGGGTGTGGACGTTTCGCGCCAATTTCGGTTGGTCGGCTGCATCGCGCCGCGCGCTCGTTCTGCGCTTCCCCAGAGTGAGACTTCTCAGCTCGCCCGCTCCTGTCGCACGGTCCCCGGCAGCGATGGCGCTTAAGGACTACGCGATCGAGAAAGGTGACAGGCTCTAGGGCTGGGATTGGCGTCCTTCGAGGGAAGCTTCTCCACCGACACCTGTTGAGGGACGCTGGAGTCTTGGGGGGAGCTGAGGTCGGTGGCTCTGGGGACAGGCGGACTGCGCCCGAGACGAGTGTAGCGGGCATCGGGATGGGAGCGATCCTGATCGGAAAAGGTGCTGTGGTTGTGAGGGGGAGGACCCAGCGGAGGCCGCGAAGAGGAGCGGCCCTCCAGAGAGACAGCTGGGTGACGTGGAGCCTTCAGTCCATGGCCGGAGGCCCCGGGGACCCGGGCCTGCCTCTGCGCTCTGGGGCGCTGGAGAATTCCCGCGTCCACTCGAGACGCGCCGGACTTCGGGGGCGGGGCTTGCCCGGCCGCTACGCGCCGGGATTGGTTGTTTTAGGCCGCCCTCCAAGCGGAAGTAGAGGCGGGCGGAAGTGGCGCTACTCCATCGGAGGGAGTGTCGTGTGTAAACAGTGTCCTTCCGCGCGGTGGCCTCGGAGATAGCTGCCGTGGGTAGGGGCGTGCCTGGAGTCGGGAGACTGAGCGCCCGGCGGCGAGAGGAGGCAGTGAAGTGGACCCGAGTGGCCCTTCGGCGTGCTGGCCAATCGCCGCACGGCCGCCCGCCTCGGGCGGAGGAATCCTGGGCTGTGAGGCGGCTGGAATCCGGGCCCATGTGCTTCTTTGTTTACTAAGAGCGGAAGCAGTGGCGGGAGCGGGGTGTGGGGTGCAGAGGAGGCCTAGTGGCGGACGTCCCGGCGGGAGCAGGAGAAAAAAAAAAGAGTTGTACTGGTGGAAGGAGAGCCGAGAGTCGATTGTGTGCGAGCTGAGAGAATTGAAGAGCCTGAGATTCCTAACTAAGGCAGTGAGTGCAATTCTCGTGGGAAGGTTGGAGTAAGACTCCAACTTGTAACTGCCCGGGGACCTATGTTCTTCCCCAGGTAAAAGCAGATTTGTGCAAAGGAGTACTGCCTACTTTGGGGAGAACTAGGTAGGCTTGTTTTGAGTGTTCATTTAATTAGCTCACAGGTCCCGTCTTAATTGGAAATGGGTTTCCTAGGTTTCCGTTAAGAACTTGAAGTAAAGAATCCGAAAGGAAGCTTGTGTTGGAGTATTTGGTACACTATTGTGTGTGGGACCGCGCGCGTGTGCTGCACGAGTATATCACGGCTTACACGTGGGTGTTAGACAGCCTCGGGAGTCGGTTCTCTTTCAACCTGTGGGTGGGCACCAGGGATTGAACTCTGACCATCAGGCTTGGCAGCAATGGCCTTTACACCTTACTGTACTTAAAGATTTGTTTTTGATTTTACATTTGTTTGTAGAAAAAGTTAAGAAGTTCCTGCAAGAGTTTTATTATGATGATGAACTTGGAAAGAAGCAGTTCAAGTATGGAACCCAGTTGGTAAGTCCCAGGATTGGTTTGGAGAGTTGGGGTGGTATGTAAGAACTTGTACAAGGTGGCCTACCTTGTTTGTAGAAAGTCTTCAACTGTTTAAGTTATGTTTATTTGTGTATGTGTGGAGGTCCATTCTCCCACCATGTGGGTTCTGGGGTTTAAACTCCATTCTTCAGGCTGGATGGCAAGTGCCTAACCCATTGAGCCTTCTCTCCCATTCCTACCTAGCTCTTGGTTTTTAGAAATAGTGCTTGTGTGGCCTGAACGGGCTTTGGGAACACCTTATGTAGTTACATAGCTGGGGTTGGCTGTGAGCTCCTGACCTCCTGTCTTGGGCATCCTAAGCACTGGGATTACCTGGTATGGTGGGTTAACACCACATTCATAAAAACAAAGGGTTTCTGGAGTTCAGAAGTTTTCTTCAGAGCTGAAAAGTAGCTCTCTACTGTGTTCTTTCCTCTGGGGGATGGCCAGTGACTTAGATGAGCTTTTGTAGGTGAGATAAACGTGACCCTAGAGTAGTATTACTGCCTTTTCCTTGCCTCAGGTTCATCTGGCTCATCGGGAGCAAGTGGCATTGTACGTGGACCTAGATGATGTAGCTGAAGATGACCCTGAGTTGGTCGACTCAATTTGCGAGAATGCCAAGCGCTACTCAAAGCTGTTTGCTGATGTTGTACAAGAGCTTCTGCCTGAGTACAAAGAGAAGGAGGTAGGTTGCTGGCTTCTGAGCTCTCCTGCCTGGTGCCCGCTATTCTTTTTGGTTTTTTGAGACCGGGTTTCTCTGTAGTTTTGGTGCCTGTCCTGGAACTCGCTCTGTAGACCAGGCTGACCTCGAACTCACAGAGATCCTCCTGGCTCTGCCTCCCGGGTGCTGGGATTAAAGGCATCCGCCGCCGCCGCCTGGCCTACTCTTCTTTTTCTATCCTGCCCCTCACTTTTCCTGTTTTTAGGTGGTGAATAAAGATGTCCTAGATGTTTACATTGAGCACCGACTGATGATGGAACAGCGGAGCAGAGACCCAGGGGCAGCCCGGAACCCTCAAAACCAGTATCCTTCCGAGCTCATGCGGAGATTGTGAGTGTCTTGGTGGGCAAGGTTGGGGACTTGTTCTCCAGGACCTTGCTGACAAACGTTTCCTTCTCTTAGCGAGTTGTATTTCCAAGGCCCAAGTAGCAGCAAGCCTCGGGTGATCCGGGAAGTGCGGGCTGATTCTGTGGGGAAATTGGTAACTGTGCGTGGGATTGTCACTCGTGTCTCTGAAGTCAAGCCCCGGATGGTGGTGGCCACATATACTTGTGATCAGTGTGGGGCAGAGACTTACCAGCCGGTATGTATACAGTAGGGAACAAGAAAATACTTGTCTGGGTTTATTGTTCTTGAAATAAATAATTGTTTCACTGATTATAATCTGTCATTTTCTCTCTAACTATTGCAACAATTGCTGCAGGATTCATTTTTAATTCTTTGGTAGTGATCTGATCTCTATAGTCATTTTGTTTTGTCAATGTCTCTGCTTGACTCAGAATATTTCAATGGGTTCTTTCAGAATGCCTTGTCACAGCAGGGATGATTCCTGTGGTGATTGTAAGGAGCTTTTGATTTCTCTTTCCATTCCTTTCTAGATTCAGTCTCCCACCTTCATGCCTCTGATCATGTGCCCCAGCCAGGAGTGCCAAACCAACCGCTCAGGAGGGCGGTTATACCTGCAGACTCGTGGTTCCAAATTTGTTAAGTTCCAGGAAATGAAGATTCAAGAACATGTGAGTGTGAGGGGAGGTGAATCCTGCTGTGGTTGTGAAGTGGAAGAGAGAAAGAGGAGTGCAGGGCTGGGAGAGAAGTCATCTATAGTGGGAACAAGGTTAAACTAGAAGTTTGCATACTTGCTTTTAGCCAGAAAGTCAGCCTTCTAGGCTGGGCTGCTGAGTCTTACCATAGAATTGGCTTCTGAGGCAATGGTCTATGGGTCAGGCCCCTGTCTGCCTCACTTTTCTCCTTGTCTCATGTCCTGTGCTCTGACCCCGACTCCCCAGAGTGATCAAGTTCCTGTGGGGAATATCCCTCGTAGCATCACAGTGGTTTTACAAGGAGAGAACACGAGGACTGCCCAGCCTGGTGACCATGTCAGTGTCACTGGAATCTTCTTGCCGGTCCTGAGGACAGGATTCCAACAGATGGCACAGGTGAGGGAGTTTGAAATGAGGGAATAGTTCCGTTCCGCTCATCCACCCACTTACTGTCTTCACACCCTTAGAAAAGTAAAACCAGTCAGATGGAACTTGTGGTTGTTAAGAAACTCTTAGGGGTTCTGGTGATGGCCGGTTAAAGGGAAGCCATTCTTCTGCCCAGGGTTTACTCTCAGAAACGTTCCTGGAAGCCCACCGGATTGTGAAGATGACTAAAAGTGAGGATGACGTAGCTGGGGCGGGAGAGCTGAGCCGGGAAGAGCTGAAGCAGATTGCAGGTGAGGGGCCACAAGGTTGAGTTGAAAGTGGAGTTTTGGGCCGGGCGGTGGTGGCGCACGCCTTTAATCCCAACACTTGGGAGGCAGAGCCAGGCAGATCTCTGTGAGTTCAAGGCCAGCCTGGGCTACCAAGTGAGTTCCAGGAAAGGCGCAAAGCTACACAGAGAAACCCTGTCTCAAAAAAACCAAAAAAAGAAAGTGGAGTTTTGTCTCGGGAAATGCAGTGGCTTAACTTTCTGCAGAGGAGGATTTCTATGAAAAGCTGGCTGCTTCTATTGCTCCGGAGATCTATGGGCACGAAGATGTGAAGAAGGCACTGTTGCTGCTGCTGGTGGGTGGTGTAGACCAGTCTCCTCAAGGCATGAAGATTAGGGGTAAGGGACAAAGGAGAGGCTGGGAGTTGTTTGGGAGGGTGAGAAGGGATCGGATAAGTAAGTGTTCTGTGAATGACAACTGAGGAGTTGATGACTTGGCTTCATGGTTGTTGATGTCTTAGAAGAAATAGTAGGGGTTTGGAAGGGGAATCAGGTCTCAAGTGCTCTCCCTGTTGGTCGACAACTTGGGGTGAGCGTGTCATTTAGGCTTCCTTCCCATTTTCTAGGAAACATTCACATCTGCCTTATGGGAGATCCTGGTGTGGCCAAATCTCAGCTCCTATCTTATATTGACCGTCTGGCCCCACGAAGTGAGTATGGGCAAGGGTAGGGCTTTGTGTTTGTTTGAAACACTAAAACCTCTGGAAGGCCTGGGCAAGTGGCTCCTTCCTTCAACAGTCTGCTGTTTCTCTTTGCAGGTCAGTACACAACAGGTCGGGGCTCCTCTGGAGTGGGGCTGACAGCAGCTGTGCTGAGAGACTCTGTGAGTGGGGAACTCACTTTAGAGGGTGGTGCCCTCGTGCTGGCTGACCAGGGTGTGTGCTGCATTGATGAGTTTGACAAAATGGCCGAAGCTGACCGCACAGCCATCCATGAGGTCATGGAGCAGCAGACCATCTCCATTGCCAAGGCAGGAATTCTCACCACACTGAATGCCCGATGCTCTATCCTGGCTGCTGCCAACCCTGCCTATGGGCGATACAACCCCCGCCGAAGCTTGGAGCAGAACATACAGCTTCCTGCTGCTCTACTTTCCCGATTCGACCTTCTCTGGCTGATTCAGGACCGGCCTGACCGAGACAATGACCTCCGGTGAATAAAGTACAATACCCATAGAGACAGCCCATTTTAGTGGTTTGCGGGGAGGAAGGTAAAATCAGAAAGCCGCTCAGCTTGTCTGTGTGGACACATCAAACACTATTCTTGTCTATAGTTCCTAGGGAAATGGAAGGTTGAGGGTTTCCTGGGAGGTCTGTCTCTGCCATGTTATGTAGAAGAGGTGGGGCTAAGAAGGGGTCCTAAGTCAGAACCTCAAGGTATATTGCTCTTAATGTTGCCTGTGCTCTCTCCAGGTTGGCCCAGCACATCACCTATGTCCACCAGCACAGCCGGCAGCCCCCTGCCCAGTTTGAACCTTTGGACATGAAGCTTATGAGGTGGGTAGGGAGTGAACCCAGGACTCACTTTTGTAGCCTAGCCATACAAGGCAAGGCATCATCAGAAGTTGTTTTTCTGGCTTGGGGTGATGAAGCAGCAGGCTATAATCCTAGCTACCGTGGAGACAGGAGGATCTTTAGAGATCTTTCAGCAATGTCTCCAAAAATTACCCCCTGCCTCATACATTCTTCACCATCATCATCTTGTCCTCGGGGTGAGGCAGGTACAGCTTCTTGGCCATATCTGCTCCTGTGGCATTACTATGGCTCAGAGCATCTCCGTGATCTTCAGGTTTCTAAATTCTTTTCACCAGGTCTCTGAAGTCTTTCTCCTTTGTTACACATTCAGGGGGGCTAGGTCATCCCAGTGCAGATGGATTCGTGTTACTTTTGCAAATGTCATTTTCCTGAAAACCTGGAAGTTACTTGAGCACTGGCAGCCCTGTTTGGAGAAGTCCCTCGGTGATGCCCAAGCAAATAGCTGTCTGCCTCCTGCGTGGAGTATTAAGTAGGGAATGCAAAAAGCAGGCTGCGTTCTGCTTTCCCACAAGCCTTGTTTCCCACAGACGGTACATAGCCATGTGCCAGGAGAGGCAGCCCACAGTGCCTGAATCTCTGGCTGACTACATCACAGCAGCATATGTGGAGATGAGGCGAGAGGCCCGGGCCAGTAAGGATGCCACCTATACTTCTGCCCGGACCCTGCTGGCCATTCTCCGACTTTCTACTGCTCTGGTGAGTGCTGGGTCCCTGTCAGCTGGAAGGCTGGCCCTTGCCTGCCACCTCACCTTAATGGTGACCCTCAGGCTGCCTCCTCCCTCCCTCCCAGCAGCCCTGCTGGGGCTAAAGTGCTGACAGTGCAGATAGTGGTCCTCTCTGTGCTACCGCACTGTGGGTACTTGCTGCTCCAGCAGGGCACGTACAACAGCCACGGAGGGGAAGGCTGCTTGCTACTCAAATCCAAGAGGGGCAGAAATGTCCTAGGTACATGGTCTTAGAAATCTCCATCTGTCCTTCCCTCTTGGACCTTAGTCCTGGGGGCTCCAAAGTGCTGTTCGTGCAGGTAGTGTAATTACCTGACCTACTGCTGAGCTAGCACTTCCCGAGCCCCCAGGACACAACCTCTCTGACAGTGGCCCTAGCTGAGCTCCCCAGGCTCCATTTATCACGATGGGGAACCTAGTGGAGTTCAGAAGGGTCTGGTCTCCCTCACAGGACAGATGAACACCCACCGGGACTGGCCAGTGTTGAGAGGCGGAGACTTGGGCAATTGCTGGAAGCTGCCCTGGGCATTGCACTTGTCTCGGTCTGACAGTGCCGGCCCAACACTGCAGATGTGGGGGGCAGGGAAGAGTCCCCACTTTTGTTCTATGAGTAGGCAAACATGGCTTGCCCGCCTTAAAGCTGGAGCAAAGATTTTTTTACTTCATCCCCCTCCTCCCCTCCTATCCCCATCTTGTCCCTGCCTTCCCCCCCTAGGCTCGACTCCGGATGGTAGACATTGTGGAAAAGGAAGACGTAAATGAAGCCATAAGGCTGATGGAGATGTCAAAAGACTCCCTTCTAGGTGAAAAGGGACAAACAGCTAGGTGAGTATCTTAAGAATGAAATTGGGCCACTTGACTTTTTTGAGCTGGTCACTAGTTTCTGCACTCATAAACATACAAGTTTGACCTGAGAATTTTAATGTTGATTGCTCCTGTTTGCTTAGCCCTGCCTCCTGACATTTTCCATCCATGTGTTTCAGGACCCAGAGGCCAGCAGATGTGATATTTGCCACAGTCCGTGAATTGGTCTCAGGGGGACGAAGTGTCCGTTTTTCTGAGGCTGAGCAGCGCTGCATATCACGTGGTTTCACACCAGCCCAATTCCAGGCAGCTCTGGATGAATACGAGGAGCTAAATGTCTGGCAGGTCAATACTTCTCGGACACGGATCACTTTTGTCTGATGGCCAGCTTTGAGGCTCACCTTTGTCTGATAGCCAGCTTTTAAGGCCCTGCTGCCCACCCCAGAGAATGCCCTGGATGCCCCAGAGATGAAGATCCCATTTTCCCACGCTGCACTTTTTTATTCTGTTGTTAATAAAGTGTTTTGAATACTTCCTGTTTGGGCCTGGCTTCTGCTAAGATAGCATTGGGGGAAGGGCTAACACCGTGATTAATATGCAAGTTTACTCTACCTTGCCCACATTAACTAGGGTGTGGCAAGGACTGAATGGAGCCTCTAGGGTTCTTGCTCCTCTCTAAAGTCCTGAGCCTTACTGTGTGCTATTCAAGCTGGGAGGTACAGTGCCTCAGGCCCACTCACTTCTTGAAATGTTCCCACTGTGGCCATCTTTTTAATTCCCATCTCCCTTGGAGGGTGGTGAAATGGGAGATGAAGGGTGACATAAAAAGTAGCACCTGGCACAAGAAATGACTTAGGTGGGAGTCTCACAGGTGGGTTGAAGTGTTAAGGCTGAGATGTGAAGAATTCATTTCCCTTGGTACTTTTCAGTGTCCATAGGACCAAGGATTTGAGTTATCCATAATTATAAAGACAGGCTTGGTATCCCTCCCCTTGGTAGCTCAGAAAGCAGTCCTCTCATTTCTGTGGACTGGCCTATGTAAGTTGGTAACACAGCTGGAAGCAAGCAGGCAATCCTACCACCTGTCTATCCAGACAAGGGGTCACTCAAGTCAGTAAAAGGCGGTTGAGAAGTGCTGACGAATGGATTCTGCCTCTGACAAGGCTGCCTGGACTCCAGGTTGAGAAACCAATGTGGTGCCTGGTAGGACAAAGCCACTGGAAGGGCTGCTAAGGGGCTGCTCTTTTATTAATGACAGTTTCTCTAAGGGAATGCAGTGCCCAGTCCCAAGGAACAGTTGTCTGGGCCCTGTACATCATCCCTTCCAGAACCTTCATCAGAAAAACAGTCCCCTCATTCGCCTGCCGATGCCCTGTCGGTCGTAGAGGACGTTGAACTTGTTCACAAACTGGTTCATTGTGTTGCACGTTTTGGTGATGGTGCCGAGGTAGGCCATGAGCCCCACGTCATTGCATTGCTGGGAGGGAACAGAAAGAACCAGTTCCCCAGGGATCCCTCACATTAGGGCCAAGGACAACTGAATTTCACCTCCTGCCTGCAAGAGGAATGGTGTGAGCCCCACCTCCCCACCGAGGGTATTAACACTCACATCATAAAAGTCTGTCTTGAACTTGTCTGTGCTGAGAACCGGAAGGCAGTGACACAGGGCGTAGGCCTCCCGCAGGATCTCATGGTTGAAGGGAACCTCTCCTAAGGGTAAAACGAGGCTGCACTGATGTGGATGCCGTCACTTCTCCAGGAGGGAGGAAAACAGTTAAAAGTGACAGAGAGGCGCCTGTCCTACCTGCTTCCGAGGCCTTGACATACTCTAAAATGAGCTTCACACGGCTGTGCAGCATCTTGATGGCGCTATGCTGAGCTATCAGGTGTTCAGCCACTGCAGGGGAACAGGGCGAATGAAGGAAGGTACGTGACCACAGCCACCCACACTTCCAAAGAATTCGCCTCCCTTACCAGTGGAGTTCTCCCCACTGCCTGTTGCCGTCATCCGGGCCACGTGGTCTACACCGATCCGTTCAGCTTCCTCGGTGGCCAGGGTGTAAGTGAGCTCAGCAAACAGCATTGTTGCCTGCAGGGTAAAGGTCCCCACACAGGGAGAGTCAGAGTCGGCAAACAGGGCTGGGCACATGGCGGAGCGGGTAGAGAGCACTTGTGGCACAAATCTGAGGCTCGGTGTTTAGATCCTCAGAACCCACACTAAGCGAGATGTGGTAGACATCCCACTCCTACAGCGAGATGGGAAGGAGAGACAGAACTCCCAGAAGTTCACAGGCCAACCAGCCTGGCAAACAAGAGATCCTGTCTCAAACACAGCAGAAAGCTGGGACGGACACCCAGGGTTGTCCTGTGACTGCACACATGTGCGTGGCATGCAGGAAACAGACTAAAAGCAGGATTTGAAGGCTGCAGGGTAGGTATTACCTCTCCATTGATTATATCGATGACAGACTCAAAAACGCTGACAGGAAGCTGTAAAACAAATAGAGAGCAACTTACTAAGGGCAAATGTACTTCAACTTACACACACACATGCCAGGCTGGCCTTGAACTCACAATCCTCCTGCCTCAACCTCTTGAGTGCTAAGATTAAGTGTGTCACCACACTTGGCTCACATTTTCTAATTTCCCCAAAAACCTACTGGATAGGTTTTACCCACGTTACATATGAAAATGCCACTTCAGAGATGATGTCATACACCTGATGGGGAAATTGCAGCATGGAGGTTCAACTCAAGCATCCTTTAATACAGATGATGTCACAGAGTAAATTATAGCAGAGCATGAGGATAAAACACAGACATAGTGGTAGATGATCAAGACAAAAGGGACCCAGCAATACTCACATCTGTGTGCTTGGTCATGGGGTTCAACTTCAGAAAGAGGGGACTCTCAATGATCTCGCATACCTGGAAGAAAAGACAGGTCCCAAAAAAAAGTCAGTTTCTCTTCCCCTCATCTTCTGCTCTCTTCCCCAACATGTGCACATTTGAGCCTGTACCTGCTTATGGACGTGGATGTCGGAGGGGTCAGGCGGCCCCCCTGTGGTATACCAACCCAGAAACTCCAGCTCCTTGAACACCTGTTTAACTGGAGAAGGGGCCAGAGCAAACAATATTTCTTTAAACCTCTCTTCCTTAGTTTGATGGACCTGGTGTATTTCTTTTTTTTTTTTTTTCCTTCCTCGCCAGCTCTTCCCTCCCTCCTCAAATTTTAACTCCGTTTAGAATAAAGATCTTTCTATTCTGCCATCTCTCCTCCTTTACTTGCTGAAAATAACCTTTTACTTCTGATCCTCCTGCCTCCACCCCCTGGTTTATATGGTTCTTGAGGACTGAACTCTGGGCTTCCTACATGTTAGGGCAAGCACTCTACCCACTGTCCTACACCCCCAACCCTTTTATCTTAAAACCAAACCAAACAAAACAATCTTCCCACTTCTCTTTCCCACCCACTTCTATTCCCCTCTCACACTGCTCTTCCTTGGTGTAATAATATTCCTTGTCAATGATAATCTTCTCTTCCACGGTGTGGGACAGCAGCTCAAAGGAGTTCATCACTTCGATATTTCGCCCCTCCTGCTTTCCGATCAAAGCCCCAATCACTGAGAGGAGAGAAGCACACGGAAAACAGGTGAGGTACAGGCAGCCAAAACCTTTCCTAATAACCCCAGGCTCTGAGGTCAGTGTGGATCAATGATGGGGGAAACTAATTTGGAAGAAAGGGGAGGCAGGGGAAAAGTGATTGGAGGAGGTCTCCAAGAGGAGGGTTTGAGATTTACACACAACACTCACCCTGCATAGGCCGCCCCTCCTGGGAGCGCATGCGGATCCAGTGGTCTGAGATGTTGAGGATGACAAGGGGATGGAGAGCGACAGAAACACTCCCAGTCACTCCGGAGGCCATCACGCTGGGCACTGTTAAAGGTGAAAGGAACACATAGCGGGTGAAAGCTCGGGCCCACACATTCTCTCCTAGACAGGGGAGTAAGGGACCGGCAGAGCCGGGCCGTCCATCCCTGCCCGCAAGTTATCCTGGGAGAGATGTTGCTTCTCCCAGGCTTAAGAAGTACTCAAGATACTCCGCAAGGGAGACTCCAAAAGGCGCTCCGCACAGCCCGTTACCTGCTGCATCCACCTCCATGCCGCTGCTGCCTCCGCTCCCGTTCGCCGCCGCTGCCGCCGCCGCCGCCATTTTCCCCGCGCCCGCCAGACACGGCCCGCCCCCTTCCTTCCCGGCTTCCGTCGGCGAGCAGCGCATGCTCAGTATGTGCTTGGTGCTGCTGAAGGGCGGGGCATCTGCCAGTACTTGTTAACCCTGAGATGCCCGAGAGCGTGTGTGCTGCCGGCTCTCATGTAACCCAGCCTGGCCTTGAGCTCTGTATTGTGTATCTGAGGATGACTTCGAACTTTGATCCTCCTGCCATCACTTGCTTGTTGAGGTGGGATCCCACTGTTGTAGCCCAGCTGCCTGGGAACTTGCTATTAGAGCGGGCTGACTTCAGACTCACAGAAATCCACCTGCCTCTGCCTCCTGAGTGCTGATTGTGTGTGCGCCACCATGCCCGGCATCCCTAGCTTTTATGTGTGTCCTGGGGACTTAAACTCAGGCCCTAACACTTTACTCACTGACCCATCTCCCCAGCCAGGACCGCTCTTCAACCGTTGAGCTGCGTCTTCAGTTGCATGGCAACCTGACTCCATATGCAAGCTAGTGACTGCTACTGGGGAGACTTGGCGCACACAGTGGGATGGGTGCCAGGTGAATCTGGGGTCACTTCGGTGTGGGCATCTGCTGCTCACTGGCAGAACTTCCTCAGTGATCCAGCAACCCCACAGAAGTCTCCACCACTTTCCAGCAGTCAAGAAGGCATGCAGAGGACTCTTTTTTTTTTTCATTCTGTTTTTAACAATTGAATAATACTTTATTTTGTAAATATACCACATTTTCTTTCACTTTTTGTTTTTTGATACGGAGTTTTCTGTGTAGCCCTGGCTGTCCTGGAACTAGCTCTATAGACCAACTTGTGTTGGAACTCAGAGATCTACCTTCCTCTGCCTCCTGAGTACTGGGATTAAAGGTGTGCGCCACCGTACCCCAAAAGTAACACATTTTCTTTGTTTCTTTTTTTTCTTTTTTTTTTTTTTTTT